TCATTTATTAACTTTTGGGTTATTACAAACTCGCATAGTACAACTTACTCACCCCTTAGTGAACGCACCAAGTACACGTCGTCTGTTCAACTAGTCGACTTGCTAGTAAATTTGGGTGTTATCCACTTGCAAATTTAGTGAAGCAATCTCTCGGTGAGCAATCTCTTGTTATAAACGAGCTGGTGAATTCTTTCAAGATCAACCTGGAAATATTTGCAGAGAAAAGGGGTAACGCCATACAATGATACAAAGAGAAACGACAAACAAAAAGGCAAGCAATACGATTTCCATTATTATGTTAAAATAATTTCCAATATTCTATTTGGTTTATGAACCCAATTAATCTTGCATTTGGCTATTAACTGGTGACTAAATATGCTATAATTGAAACTGGAAATGTAGGCATGAGAAGTGCATTAGGTATGAGTCCAGGAAGGCTAGAGTAGGCACCAGAATGAGAGTTAAAGGTAGATTTATAAATATTCTGAAGAACTGTATGGTAGGAGTATGTTAGGCCAGCCCAAGAGGGGCCGGCTGCACCTATTGGACCGGTCACTAGTGAACCGGTTTTCTATTACAGGCGCCAACCTAAGGAAGGGAGAGAGAGAGAGAGAGAGAGAGAGAGAGAGAGAGAGAGAGAGAGAGAGAGAGAGAGGGCCGGCTACTCCTATGGGGCCCACACCTTGATTAAAGATTATTTGGATGGAAATATTTGAATTAGGGGATATTTAGGAATTTTGTATTACTCCTTTTACTTTAATTAGTTGCTAATGCTAGAATTAGGGTTTCATATTGAATTTGAAATATGATTTGAGATATAGGGTTTGTGCTTTTGGGCTCTAGGCTTTGCTAGAGAATTGAATAATTGTTTCTTCCTCTTGAATTGAAGAAACTTATATCTTGTACTGTTTTTCTTGTTCATGGATTGAATAGAAGAAGTTTTCCTTGTATTTCTCTCCAATATCCTGAAATTCCTGCATCGTTTTTGCTATTTTCTCTCTGAAATCAGCGTATTTCATGTTGTTTTTACCGATTATTGCTAGGTTTGCTTGCGAACTCAAATATTGCCCTTAGGGTTACTTGCGAACTCAAGTATTTCCTATTAGAGTGATGGCTAAAAACAAAGGATTTAGCCTAATCTGTACATAAATATTATTGAATGTTTTTTGTGGTTTTGTTTATAACTGTTGAATGGGTGAGTATATATATTAGTGAGCATCCTTTGTTATTTTATGTTCTAAAGTCATAAAAAAAGTAAAGAAGGCAAGAACACACACAAGAGAGTTGAGGGAAGATTCCTAAAGTCTTCTAAAGTTTTGTAAAATAAGATCTATTGTTGTTTTTGCTATAAGTTTTGAATAGGTCAGAATAGTATATATATGAGGATTTACATACATAACGTTCAAAATTACTTAATTTACATATTTAATACTTAAACAATACTATTTACATGCATAGCAATCCATCCTTGTAGCATAAAAAACAATCCATTCCTTGATCCCCTTCCCCCACATCTTGATTTCTTTAACTCCTATTCGTCATTGATGGTTTTGGGATCGCTATAGATGTCATCAATCTCATCAATGACCTCCCCCAATGAGATCTTGTTGCGACATGCTCACCTCTTCTTTGTCATAGAGCAATTCAGGACTGCTGTGCATGTTATATATCCCACTGATTGGCTATCCTCGACGAGATCACGTCACAACTTTATCTTCTCATCTTTGCTTGATGCCCTTTCACAGAGAGATCATGTTTGGATAGTATAACATAGCTCTTTTGTTATATGTATATATATTTTTAAATCTATAAAATAGTGTTCAATATATTACAGATTATTGTTTATTTTGCATTAGTTTGATCTTGTGTTTGATCAATATAGTTTTCTTGTATGAATAGTATTAGTATCAAAATAAAGCATCAACAATTCTCCCTTCACATAATAATCTCTTCAATACATGGCAAAAGATCCGTTTGGTTAAAGTTCCTCTTTCCATCAAAGAGTCTCACAAATTTTAAAACTCACCATGAAAATAAATTTTCTAAGGTTCGTTTGCGACGACTTAAAGCAGCTTTCTAGTAATTTTTGTACTAAAACTGTTTTAAAGAAAGCCGTCTCAAACAAAGCCTAAATGGTATTTGTTTTGGGAAAGCTAATGACAATGGTATGCATGGTCTCAAATAAGGCTTAGGTTTTTAACAAAGACATTAAACAAAGAATCAAAACAATTTAATTGAAGTGACAATGTATAAATATGCTACAAACATATATAAATCTTCTATTAGATTAGAAGATTATAAGTAAGAAACATTAGATGTTCTCATTTCCAAAGTTCTTAAAACTCAAAGCCCTATCTGTTAGCCGGGAGGAAAATGATTCAGGGTGTTAAGAGCCCTAAGAGTTGAGGAAAAAAAATAAAGATATTGATAATGGTATTAATTTAACCCATTTCTCCTTTCTGAACTCTTTACCATCCTTATAGAAATGAGCAATTAAACAATAAAAACAAAAAAAATAATGCTGAAAGAAGCTAGCTTTAATCTACTTTAGGTTGAGTTTGAGACAGCTTTTTTATTGCTTATTAAAACAATTTTATAGTACAAAAGTTGAAACTTTTATACTTAAAAGCTGCATTAAGAAGTAGCTAAAAGTCGTCTCAAACAAAACCTTAAAGGGCACCTTTATATACTTTCATCTGTCAGCTCCTTTGCTTCACCGAGTTTCTCTGCTACAAAAAAGTTAAACAATAGTTGTTTGCAGGTTCTTTGGAGTAAATGAGATCTAATAGACAAAATTAATTTCAAATGTAGGGTTCATTTGAGATTATTGTAGTTTTTTATAAAAGTTATTATAAAATTGTTATGAGGATAATAATTTTTTAAAAGTTATTGTAAAAAATATTTTTTTAGCACATAAATTTATTAATAGCAAAAAAAAAATTATGATTGCGCTTTAAAAATTTAGTAAAAAATATTTCAAATGAAGCCATAGTCACATACAAATTGAATTGAAAAAAAATTATTTTGAATTAAAATTAGAGCAAAATTAAGATAAAATATTATTTTGTAAGCTATATTTTAAAATTTTATTACAATTTTTGTAAATTATTATTATTGTTATTGTTGTTGTTATTTTGTTTGGGCATGATGAATAATAAATTATAATATATTTAATTTGAATTTATGATTTTAGGAAAATAAACCCTTTTATTAATTATTAAGATATATAAATTAATTTAGTTTTTTTTACAATTTTAATTAAACTATCATCTTTTTAAAAATTTAAAACTGCATATTTTCCATCATCTTTTATTCTTTATTAAATATTTTGAATAAATAAAATTTTAAATAATGTAAAGACAACTTTATTTATTTATAATTTTATCAATGATCTTTAGTTGTATTACATCTTAATCCCAAATAATAATCCACCAACCAAAAAGGGCCTTTCTGTAAAAACAAAGATCAAATAGCATCTAAATGAAAAAAAAAAAAACCCACCTTGCTGGTTACCACGGACCGGGTTCTCGTGGCCTCCCTTACCCGCGTCGTTTAAATAAAACCGGAAGCTCGGCGAACCGGGCGTCTCCTCCGCCCTCCAATTCGACTTCTCCTCTATCGCATTCGCCTCTACGGGATGAATGAGCTCGGCGGTGGAAACAACGCTGTCCTTTCGCTCCCTTCTCCGACGACGGGGATCTTCCATTCTAGATCGCTTTAACTCCTGTATTCGCCGCCAGAACGGCCGAAGGCCCGGCGGTACCTCGTCGTCCGGCTCCGGCCGAGAGCCTCCGCAGCCCATTGGGAGATCGCCGGAAGAAAAAGCGAGGGACGTCAAATGGATTGGGAATTTAATGAGAGGGGAGCGATGACGGAGATTATGAAGATTGTTTATGGTGATTGGAAGTTGGATAGTGGGAGACCGGTAAGTAGAGAGATAATAAGTTTTAATTTTTATTTATTTTTATTCAGATTAGTTTACATATATATATATATATATATATATAAGCTCATTTTAATATTATTTGATATTTATATCGTAATATTATGATTAAGTGAAACATCATGAGGATTTTTTTATGATAAGAATGTATGAATTTGTTTGTGATTAAATTTATTTAAATTTTAAGAAAATAAATGGAGGATGAATGTTAGTATGATAATAAATTATTAATTTATTTTAAAAAATTAAGAGGACAATTTTAAAAATATGTGGAGGATGAATGTTTGTTTTTACTTATTATTTCTTTTTATTTATAATTAGATATAAAATAAAATATATTTAATATATTAAATAAATATTTTGTTTATTTTATTAAATATTTTATAAATTAATTTATTTTTTATTTGTAGAGAGAAATATTATAGTGGCTGAAGTTGTTGGTAGATTAGAGAGATATTATTGACTTCGATGAGAGGTTGTGCGGTGGCACAGATTAGGTCGTTTATCGACAGAGATGATAAATATTGAGCGTTTGTTTGAGGCTATTTTTTCATGCTTTTTAAAGCAGACTTCTAATTTAAAAATTAAAATTTTTATATTATAAAAATATTTTAAGAAGCAATAAAAAAGTCATAAAAAAGACTATGATTGATAAAAGTGATGATGGTTGGAGGTGTTTTGCTTTGAGAATTGCACAAAATTTATAATATATTTAAAATAGATCAAATATAATAATTTAAAATACATTAAAATTTAATTATATGATGAATTTTAAATATTTTAAAATTTCATCATATATTTATTATATTTTAGATAAAATATTAATATTTTTAAAACCTTCATTTAAAGGACTTTACATCTTTTTTATTTCAAATTATACTATCTCTTAGGCCTTTTCTCCATTAACTTTAGCCCCCGTTATCGTCCACACGTCTTGCAGGTGCCGATTGGGTTCCGCAAAACAGGTGTCCCTATTTTTCTCTTTACATCCAGATACTAACCCGTCCATCTGGGGAGGTAGGCCTTTTCATCTCTTAAGTCATAACTCCCCAGCTAGGGTTTTGGGAGGTTTCGTCACCCGCTTACGTTTAACGGCAATGGAAAAGTCTGAAGAACTGCATCAATTTCTAGAGGTATGGTTCTCGGATTCTATACTTGCTTTACTGTTGAAGCATTATGGCTGCTTGATTCTAATATACGTAATGTTAGAATCATTTTGATAGAAGGTTTGTTGCCATGCTATTCTAAAAAGAAATCTCGGTAAAGGTTCTCAGATTCTATACTTGTTTTACTGTTGAAGCATTATGGCTGATTGATTCTGATATCTATTATTTTAGAATCTTTTTGATAGAAGGTAAACGGCTTAGTGTAACTTCTTACCATGCTATTCTAAAAACAAACCTCGGTTTTGTGGCAACTCAAATCCGAATTGATTCAGCAATGAAAGGTTTAAGATGTAGGTGAGATCCAAGAAAGTTTTTATGTTGGACTGTATTATAGAAGTTGCAGAAGGATATATGTGTTATGCAAGTTATCTTTGTAGAGTAATTGTTTCATTTTGCTCAGGTTAAGGAGTAAAGAAAAATGAGGAAGGTGGTTATTTGATATGGTTGAATAAGATGTAATTGAGATTCAAGTGTTATAAGATGTCAATGTTATTAGATGTTTGTTTTATTAGATGTCAATGTTATTTGTCAAATGTTATGGGTTTGATTTAATATTATTGTATTTAGAGATCTCATTGATTATTGAAATTGTTATTGAATGGTTTAATATTATCTGGTGTACCTAGATAAGTTTATAGTGCATAATATGATATGTAGTTTGTACTATTCAAATAGCATAATTTATTAAAAAAAGCATGAGTAAGTTATCAATAGTTAAATAATTTAAGAAAGAATATACCAAAGCGAAACAAAAAAAAACCCACGTAATGACATATGAATAGATCATTGTTTAAAGATGCATCAGGGTTTGTAAAATACAATTATATTGAAAAATATACCATCATGTTATGAGAAAGAAATTATTTTTATAAATAAAACTATAATTGTTGCAATTATTGTTTACAACTTCTCACTCCCCCTTCACTTATTATTATATTGTGTTTCCCGCCTTTACTTTGAGCTAAAATTTGTCATCCATTTAGGGGCTTTTCTTATTCTCTATCCGAAACCTTTCTACAAACTAGAGAGTTGGGGTGCCAATATTTGACACGACCCAAAACCCCGACCTAGACCTGACCTGAAATTTTCGTGTTCGGGTCGACCTGGTTAGCATATGGGTCTGGTTACGGTTCGAATATCTGACCTGATTTTAGTTTTGGGTAGTGTTCGGTTCAACCCGACAACCCGATATTGACCCGAGTTTAATTTGATTTCTTCATTAATATTGTGGACTTAAACAATAAAATAAAACACAAAGAGCGGTAAACACAAGCCTAGGCCAAGTTACTTGCGAAAAGTAAAAACCACATAGCAATCAATTACTCTTGACGTTGCATACGAGATAGGTTTAAATAAGAAATCTATAATCTAACAATAAGAGTAGTGTTATGAAAGATCTCTCACACAATTCCTACTAAACACTAAGCTTTAGTGGGGCGTTGCAAGATTTTGCATGAATTAATCAAAAACACAAGCAAGGATCAACGAGGAAGGTAAGAGAGGAGGTCAGAGTTCACCCTTTGTTAAGATTCAACCCTCTTGAATGCTTGGACAATAGTTCGTGGCTGCAGGAACCTTTGGTCAGCACACTTCAACGTCCGGAAAACCGCGGGCCACGAATGGAAACTTCTCCAAACAGTTGGACAGTAAGGTGGGCAGTTGGAATCTCTGGATAGCAGCAGTTTGCTCTTGAGAAGATCTTGGACATCAGTCTTGGCTCTTGGAAAAACTCTGGACAACAACCTATAAGGCCTAGAAAAGTCGTGGACAGCTACTGTGAAAGCAGGAGGCTTCTGGACAGTAAGTTGTGATAGCCACGGGGTGCAGGACATCTGCTCTTCTTTGTTGAAATTCCCTGAGTATAGGAGGGGGAGAGGGGCGGTGGGCAAGAGAGTGGGGAAAGGAGTTATTTCAATTCCGAAAGGAGAGGCTCTCTCTTGGAAAGAAAATAAAAAGGTTTGGACTAGGGGATTTCGGCCAAGGAGGTGGAGAGGGAGTTTGAATTATTTCCAAGAGGAGAGGTTGGTCTTTAGGAAATAATTCCTAATGCTGTTCTATAGGGGGGGCCGGTGGCAATAGAGAGAGGAAAGGGATTAATGAAGCAATCAATGTTTACCTAAATTAACAAACTAAATTTGGAATGAAAGATCTCATCCCAATTTAATTCAAATTTAGATAGGCAATGTTTTAGTAAGTTTCCTAAAATAGTATTTATAAATTAGATAACTATTTCAAATTCAAATAGATTTGAGTTTGATCATTAATAAAGTTACAAAAAATATGAAATCTAATTTAGAAAATACTTGATGGCAAATGGAGATGAGGGGGAAAGCCAAGGGGATGGGCCGGCGGTGTGAGGGTGGTCGTGGATGGTGGTGGGTAGTGGATCTAGGCGACGGGTGGTGTGGGGGAATTAGGTGGCCGGTGGCTTAGGGGTTGGAAGGATCTTAGGCCGGCGGCTAGGGGATGAAGGGAAGGGAAAGAGAGATAAAGAAGAAAGGTAAGGAAGAAGAACCATGAACTCGTTCATCTCCATGGTTGGTGGGTGATCCGATTTCCCTCTTCTAGGAATTTCTCCAAGACTCACAGGCTCTCATATAAAGAGATCAATACGCAGGAAATTTTCTTTTCATCATCATCATTAACCCTCAAAGAAGAAAAGTGAGGCTTTAAATTGTCAATTCAATGAGAAAATACAAAGTACTATTATGCCCCTAGGGCTTACACATACACAAGTCCTTAAGTAAGGGCAAAAGTGCAAAAGCATAATAAAACTAATACATCAATAATAAATTTGAAAATCAAAAGTAGAGCGGTGTAATTGTGGCCATAGATCGCCGGCCACGCCTCTAATAAGCTTTCCATGTCTTGATTCATATTTTGCTGGCATTTATCGACAACTGTTAACATTTTTTCATTTCGAGATAATGGGATGACAGGATAATTGCTTGGCAAGATTTTTAATCTCTTTTATGAGTTTCCATAAAGTTTTTTTGTATTTGAGCTTCTCAAATGAATATATTGTGTTTGCGCGATTAAAAAACCCTAGGTGATGTAAAATTGTCAATCCTAAATATCACTACATATCCTTTATTCCTTTATGATTTTTATTCATATATGATTACATCTGATCCGAGCCTCTTAACTTGACGTTCTATCAGTTTGGGCCGTCCGGCTGAGGGATTAGCTTTTAGGCTTTTAGTTTTTTATTTTAATTCCCATGGAGAAATTTGATTTATTAGACGCCCCCTTTTTCAATCAGTGATATGATTTACTTATAACTATACTTCTCTAGTTATTGTCATCTTGGTTGGATGAGTGAAATGATTGCCAAAGCATAATAGGCTATCATTTTAATCTGATTGTGAAAAAAAAAAGCAATTTGCTTGTTAAATACAAGTTTATGGTCTTTATGATCTCCAATTCTTATCATCTTGGTTGGCATGTTTGCACTCTCACATTTCTATATTGTAGCTTAGATGAATGATCAATCTAAGGGAGATAATGCAGTAATTCTGATATGCTCATTGACTAATTCATCTTCTTGATGATGGTTTGTTGTGACTGACTGACTTTATAAATATTGTTGAACTTATCATTCTCTACTATAGTTTCATATTTACATTAACTTTAATAAATATTTTCATATGGATTTTTTTAGATGGAAGATTCTAACACAGTTGTTGAAAGTACTCCTTTCGATGAGAATGTGCAAGTAGGCAGTGCTCCTAATACAATTGATATAGACAATGATGATGATATATGTAATGTTGATGGAAAACATTTAGATGGCACGACTACCCTCAAGAAAAGAAGAAGAATGAATTCAACAGTTTGGGGTTATTATGAGATGTTACCTCTTCCCAGTGATGGCAAGCAAAGATGTAAATGTAAGAAATGTGGGGCAATATATCAATGTGATAGCAAGTATGACACTGGCAATTTAAGACGTCATATGCAAAATTGTAAAAAAAGAGATACTCGTGACATAGGGCAGCTTATTATGCAATTAAATGCCAGCTCGTCGATCTCCATGTCTGAATCTAGATTTGACATTCATGAGTTTCGCGATTTATTTACTGCCTGCATTATTATGCATGATCTTCCTTTTCAGTGTGTTGAATGGGTTGGTCTTCGAGCATTACTGCATTATCTCCGTCGTGATCTACCAGTTTCTAGAAATATTGCTAGAAGTGATTGCAAGAAATTATTTACTAAAGAGAAAGGGCGTATTCAAAAGGAAATTTTAAATTGTACCAGTAGAGTATCCTTGACTTCTGACTTATGGACATCAATTAATACTGATGGGTTCATTTGCTTAACTGCCCACTACATAGATAATAATTGGCTGCTGCAAAAAAAGATAATTAATTTTGGTTTCATGCCACCACCGCATGATGACATTGCTTTGTTTGAGAAGCTACATTCTTTTTTAACTGAATGGAAAATTCAGAATAGAATTTTTAGTATTACTCTTGACAATGATTCAACTAACAACGTTTCTGTTGAATTCTTAAGAAGTCAGTTAAATCTGCAAAGTGGACTATTATGTAAAGGTGATTTTTTTCATATAAGATGTTGTGCTCATGTTGTGAATCTTATCGTGCAAGAGGGAATGAAAGAGGTTGATCTCTCTGTTGCAAATATCAGAGAGAGTATCAAATATGTGAAAGGTTCACAGGCAAGAAAACAAAATTTTTTGGAATGTGTCAAGCAAAGCTATCTTGACTCTAAAAGAGGATTGAGGCAAGATGTTCCTACGAGGTGGAACTCAACATTTATCATGCTTGATTCTGCCATTTACTACAAACATGCTTTTCAACAGTTGGAACTACTGGACTCGAATTTTAAATGTTGCCCCAATAACAATGAATGGGAGAGGTTGGAGAGTATTTGTAAGTTCCTCGCTCCTTTCTATGAGATTATTTGTGTTTTTTCTGGCACAAAATATCCCACTACAAATCTCTTCTTCCCTTGTGTTTCTGCTGCTTATGCAACACTTAAGCATGAAAGGTCTTATGGTGTTGAGTACATCAAAGATATTGCAACAAGGATGATAGCCAAATTCGAGAAGTATTGGTTTGATTTCAATGTCATCTTGGCAATAGCTGTCATCTTGGATCCTAGGTACAAGTTTACATTTGTTGAGTGGTGTTATAGAAAGTTATATGGAGGTGATTACATTATTGAAACTAAAAAGGTCAGGGATAAACTATTTGCTTTATTTGCAAACTATGAAAAAGTTGAACGACAAGCTTCTGATGGGCAGTCATCAGGACCCACACAAAGCTTTCAAGCTGTTAGCCCTACGAGTTTTCCTCCTACAATTATAAAGTCACAATTTCTTCAGGTATTATTCATTGTCATTCTTTCCAACTACATTTCTACTCATTAACTTATACAATGTATGATGAACTTCATAATTAGGATTATGACTCATTCGAGAAGGAAATTACTTTGCTTAAGAAGTCACAACTTGAAATGTATCTTGAAGAACAAAAAATTGATAGGAAGGTTGAGTTAGATATATTACATTTCTGGAAAGGTTACCAGTATATGTTTCCTGAAGTGGCAGCTATGGCTCGAGATGTTCTATGCATTCCCATTTCCACGGTAACTTCTGAAAATGCGTTCAGTAACAGTGGTAGAGTATTGGATCAGTACAAAAGTGCTTTAAAACATGACATTGTCGAAGCCTTCGTTTGCACTAAAGATTGGTTATATGGAGAAAATGGTAATTGTTTAATTTAATTGAGATTCCATTTTACTGATTTTCTCTCATAAGGTTGTAGTAATACCTATTTTCTTTGTAGTTTTGAATGATCCAGAACTCGAGACTGTCACTGAGGACATCATGAACTTAAATTTATGAGAAATTGCCAGCGAAGGCGGCAATGGTTCAATTAACAGGGTAGCGTAGTTGGTGTTGGGGAGGAAGTATTAAGAACTACCTATTAATATTTTCTGAATTCTGCTGGGTTTTTGCTGGTTATGGAGGTCTGTTACCAATTATTTTGTTCTGTAACTTAACATAAGGCTGATCTGCTGATGTTTTCTACAGATTTCTTATGTTCTTGTAGTGGTGAATTTTATATATTTATGCTTCATTAATTTTTTGATTTGGTTCTTGTGGGACCTTATGGAGCTTATGCTATATCTCTTGGACTTTTCTTACCTAGTGGCTGACGGGTTCGTTCAAATCTTGTGATTTGTTGTGGCTGATGTTTATGTTCTGGAATATGGACTTCAATTTTGTATTGTTTGCTTGCTGAATATGCAAAATTTTATGCTTTGTAATTCCCTAACTTCATTCCTTTTATGGAGCTAATGCCTAATGCCATATGATTTGTAGCTTTCTTACCTAGTATACCTGTTGTGGGTTCAGTTCTATTGTGGCTGAATTTACCTGTTTTGGCCTTACGGTTCGGTTCTGTCTGGCTGCCGTTGCTGAATTTACCTGTTTGTTGAATACTGAATTCAAGCTATGAAGTGTGAAAGCTCAAGCAATGACGTACACCATCTAAACTGAAACTGAGAGTCTATTGGGGTGAATAAGTACTATTGCAACCAGGTGACATTTGTGTTATCTTTAGACCGAGCTGATACTATCTAATTAAAAATTTGAACATATACTAAACTAAGCTTAATATAAACTGCTGCCTTGGATGGTAATAGAAATAATTATTAATCACTCACGTATGTTGCACTGATACACCTATTTATGAAGGCGTGTTGTATCTGATACACCGATACACGGATATACCTCTGATACGTGTCGTATACACCAAAGTCGTATCAAATTAAAATACTGTTTAATTTCAAAAGGACACGTGTATCCGATAAGCGTGTCCGTTAAAAAACAAAAAGAAATCTGAAAAAATAGAGTATTTACTTCCGCGGCTGCGAGCAAGGTTCTCTCATTTCCGAGATGGATTTGAGTCTCTTGATAATATGGGAATATTAGAAATTATTAATCTTTTTGATGCTTTCGTGCTTTGGTGAGTCGTCCGAGATCCTTTTGATGACCTATGTTGTGTTGAAATCTATATGATATGATCGATTGCGTAAGGGTCGTAGTAGCAACGAAACCGGAGAAAGTATACAAAAAAGACAATTCTTTTCTATTATATCTTTTCTATTATGTATTATTATTATATTATTATATTCTAATTATCTAATTCTTAGAATTCTTTCTAATTAGATCAGTTATATTAGTCTTATAGTCTTAGTTTTAGTATTAGTTAGTAATCTCGGCTCGGCTAGTCCTTTCTTCTGACTGTTGGCACCAGTCCTACATTTTCTCTGTGGACCGAGGAAAAAAGGGGCTCCGTGGGAAGAGGGTTGTACCATGAGAGAAGCAAGGAGGTCAACTGCTTCAAATATACAACATGAATTTTGGCAATGCAATGGAGTTGGACCCTCATGTTGATCCGTATGAATCAGTCTTTCCACGGGGGTCCATCTTTGCCTGCTAGGCAAGAGGATAGCAAGTTACAAATTCTGTCTCTGTCTCGGTAGGACATGTATTTCTATTACTATTCAATTCATAAATGAAAATGAAGTAGTTAATGGTGGGGTTACCGTTATCCTTTTTTATTGTATGTGTTCCTAAGAAGATGATATAGAAGTTCAAAGACAAACCACTGAAGAAGCTAATCATATTATTCCTTCTATTGAATAGTTGAAACTTCATGTGCTAGACAATTTATGTTTATGCTTTTGTTGTTGTACTAGACATTTAATTACTTATATTTTGATATTATAGTCTACAAGACTACAAATGATGTTGCTGTCATTTTTTTTTATAATTTAAAATATTATGCTTTGATTGCTTTCTTATTTTTTTATGTATGATTTATAAATTATAATGTCGTGTCCGCGCTATACCCGTATCCTATATTTTTAAGAATTGACGTGTCATGTATCCGTATTATGTCGTATCCGTGTCGCCGTATCCGTATCGGTGCACATAGTCACTCACATTCCATTAGTTGTTGAATGAGTTGGAGGGTTAATATGAGCTTTTTACTTAAGCTTTCTACTATCTCCTGATTTAGAATTTTATCTACTTAATCATTTTTTTGTAGTTAAAACTACCTGAAGACAGTTTTCTCTAGGAGGTTTTACAAATTTCAATTTATTGTAATTTGATTCTTGGTTGGCTGTTAGCTATTGGTATTTACTATTGTTGAACTTAATTATTTAGTTTGTAATTCAAATCAATTGTTATTGAATGTGTTGTAGGCTCTTGCTGTTTGATACTTTGATTCATGGATCATAGTTGGCTGTAACGGTGTAACCCACTAACCTGTAAGCATGTAATTGGAAATTGCAACAAGTTAATATGCTATTGGGCCTTGCCGCCTTTGATGTAAATGTTGGCATGTTGCTGAAATTAGTGAACTGAATGTGATTATTTATATACAAATTTGAAATAGCAAAAAAGTTTCATTGTTACATTTGAGTTTGTAACAATTTATTTTCACTAATATTAATGTTAAATTATAAATCCTACTTAAATTTGTTTTTTTAATACACAGTGTTTATTTTGAAAGAATTAATTTTTTTTTTCTTTTTCCAAATTAACCGGGTTGTCGGGTTGTGTCGGGTTGTCCCGAAGCAGAACCGTGTCGGATTCGGGTTAAGAAAGTCCACCCGAAACACAAATCGGGTCGGGTTGAAAAAGGGCGGGTCAATTTTGGGTGGGTGGGTCAATTTTGTGTTGGATGCGAACCCGATCCGACAACTGGTTTTGACACCCCTACTAAAAAGGTTCACACCATCCAACGTATCCTCTTCTATTATTATATTCTCTATTTTCGAATGCTTAGCTGTTTTGATTTTTAACATGAGAGTGCTTAAGTTCTTCTCCAAGAATCGAGTGGAGGAAAGTTTGTCGGAGGGATTTTTGTGCCCTTTTGAAGACTTCAGGTGTTGTTGTGATGTGAAACTACGAAGAGTTTGTTTAGAAATTTAAAAGAAACGATTAAAGTATTGCTTCTTACGAATCTAAAACTAGCACATAAAAGTTGAGTTAGGAATTTGAAAATATCAACTTGCTTAGGCCAAAGATTCGCAATAGAGATTAACCAAACCGATTCAATCCAAGTTCTAGGAGAATTTAATATGCAAAGTACAATAACAAAACCCAACGTTTAACAACAAGAATTTCACCTTGGGGCCGTATCACTCAAAGGTTGGTGGACTTTTGGCGGAGATAGAGGATCCAAGCGATGAAGGAAGTTACCACTAGAGAAAGGGCGCCAAAGAACTTCGTCGGAGGAAAAGTAGCCGGTGGGGATGGATGGCGTAGGTGACCGTCGAGGCTCCAAGTGTGCTTTGAAAATTGCCGGTCGTAGATGCTTGCAAGGATTGGTACGACTCTCTCCAAGTACTCCTCCACGGTAGTTTCGTCTTCAAATCCTACGTCGAAACACGGTGACCGTAGGACGTTGATACTTCCGTCGGCGTTGAAGACCAATCCCCACTCAAACTCCGGATCTGCCATGCATGCTTGATGTTGGCGAATCTATCGAAGAGACGGGATTTGAGTGAAGATGAGGGGAGGATCCTTGCGTCGAGAGGGGAGGAAAATGTGGGGAGGCCGGCGGGATTTCACAGGGGCTGGGGCGGCGGGCTCCAAGTAAGAGGCTAGGGTTTGGGAAAATTGCTCCTCTTCAAATCCTTCCTAAATCTGAAATAATTTCAGATCTAAGTATATTTGGAGGGAAAAGTTTGAAGAAGCCGCGGCTTCCACTAGGGGATTCCCCATTAATGCTATTTAATGTCATGACCGTTTTGGAATCAAATTGGAGTTTTCAAATTTTCCCTTCCCAATCCACTTAAAACTGAAATTCAATTTCAGTTTTTAATAATAACAATCCTCCCTCTCCCACATTAGGCCGCGCGGCCATTGATGTCCCCCTTCTGATTACCCATTAATTTCCCTTAATTGCGATTCAAATTTGAAACCTTCTTCAAACTTTTCCCTCCAAATATACTTAGATCTGAAAATTAATTTAGATTTAGGAAGGATTTGAGAGGAGCAATTTTCCCAAACCCTAGCCTCTTACTTGGAGCCCGCCGCCCCGAGCCCCTGTGAAATCCGCCGGCCTCCCCACATTTTCCTCCCCTTCGACGCAAGGATCCTCCCCTCATCTTCACTCAAATCCGTCTCTTCGATAGACTCGCCAACATCAAGCATGCATGGCGGATCCGGAGTTTGAGTGGGGATTGGTCTTCAACGCCGACGGAAGTATCAACGTCCTACGGTCCGTGTTTCGACGTAGGATTGAAGACGAAACTACCGTGGAGGAGTACTTGGAGAGAGTCCGTACTCAATCCTTGCAAGCATCTACGACCGCAATTTTCAAAGCACACTTGGAGCCTCGACGGTCACCTACTCCATCCATCCCCACGGCACTTTTCCTTCGACGAAGTTCTTTGCGCCCTTTCTCTAGTGGTAACTTCCTTTCATCGCTTGGATCCTCTATCTCCGCCAAAAGTCCACCAAACCTTTGAGTGATACGCCCCAGGTGAATTCTTGTGTTAAACGTTGGGTTTTGTTATTGTACTTTGCATATTGAATTCTCCTAGAACTTGGATTGAATCGGTTTAGTTAATCTCTATTGCGAATCTTTGGCCTAAGCAAGTTGATATTTTCAAATTCCTAACTCAACTTTTAATTGCTTAGTTTTCAGAATTCGTAGGAGCAACACTTAAACTTCTTTTTAATTTCTAAACAAACTCTCGTAGTTTCTCACATGCATATTTGTATCAGAGCATGGCAGCATGCTGTTGGTCAGGCTAGATGCATCCTAGGTGTCTCCTTTAGGTTCTTAATTGCGCATGCATGAAACATCATCTTAAATAGTTAAGCCTACTGTTTTTCTTTTGCTGTCCTTAAATTCCTGCATTAGAATTTCATTCACATGCTGTATTAAGATGTTAGTGCTGCCATCATTCATTCACATTCATAATAGTCTAGGCCACTTAGA